AACTGCCTAAACTGAGGCGTGTCCTTGCTCACATTGATAGGTGGGGAAAGCAGCCAAACCACTGATCTCTGTACTGGATATAGGCAGCAGGGCGGGATTTCAAGCAGACTGCTGAATTTAATGCCAGTACTTTCAGACTTACCTTTCCCAACCACATACACTGGGCCTGCATTCTCACCATGGAGGACAGGCCCCATATCCTTCCCAACTTGAGCTTAAATTTCTCAGATGGTCTGTGTCTAGCCCACACTCTCTATGATGGTCTCCTGTGACTGTCTCATACCCAAGCACCATGGTAGGGTAACACTGAAAACCCTGAAGTGAAGTTATTCCGTAGTTGTTCTGTGGCTCAGTCTTAGACAATTAACCTCTCCCTACAATGCCTCCTGATTAAACCGTCTCAAATGTGGTGGGTGCTTCACTGATTTCTTTTCTGCCTCTAGCCTGCCACGTAGAAGTCATTTTCAGCGTAAAGCTCCATGCCGTTTTGCAATCTTGGGGCTAGTACTGCTAGCCTGGTCTGTTGTTTCTCCCTAGAGCTGCTGACCCTTCAGGCTTAACTTGTGTCTGTGGAGACAGCTTCTCTTCCCCAGGAGCTGGATAAACTGTCCAGACTGCTTCATTCTTTTCTCTGTCTTCTGTTCCATTTCTCCAGCCTCTCTGCAATTTATAGTTTTCCTGTCATCTCCTTCCCAGTTCCTGGAGATCTTCTCTTTTCCTTTTCACCAAGTTGTCCTTTTCCAGGCATCTCAATTCCAGGTCCTGAAGAGGCTGTGTTTTGCTGCTGGTTGTTATTACACCATTTTTTCCACTTCCTTTATAGATATAGTTTAAAAGTAGAATGAAAAAAATTGGAGTGTATTCAAGATAGGGGAGAAATGGCTTATTCCAAGATCTTTGGCTTCAGGTAAACCTTTTCTCCTTTTTTTAAGCAGTCACAATGCCCACAATTATGGTAGCCACCGTGGGATCTTGACATGTACAACAAGCATGAAGATAAAAGCAAAAATATTTGCAACACAGAGCAAAAAGATGCCTGAACCCTGATTCATCCCTGAACTGCTGGTTGCCTACCTCCAGGCTTCCAGATACATTAGAAAGCTCCTATTTAAGTCACTACAGGTTAATTTTTAAAGTTGTGAGCAAATACATTTCTAACTGATATACTTTTCCTACATGCTCTTTCATTATAGCTTGGATCTTAGATGTCCCCCAAAGGCCTATATGCTGAGGGTTGGCCATTAGGCCATAGTAGTACCAAGAGGCAGTGGTGGAGTTTTAGGAGGTGTGACCTAGGTCATTATAGGGATCCCATTAGGTGAACAGTCTTACCCTACCATGTGCTCCCCACTGCCACAGATACACAGCAACTGGGCAACTGACCCTGTACGGAAACCTTTAAACCATGAACCATTTCCTCCATTTAAGCCATTTGTTTTCCTCCTGATTTTCTCAGGCAATTTGTCATAGCAGTGAAAATATGACTATACACCTTTAACACCATCGAGCACATGAGTGAGGCTGGAGCTCAGTCACACTGGACACAATGAATCACTGTCTCCACTGTATTATCTTTGAGACCGGTGGCATCTGACACTGAATCAACACTCTTTTTTTTTTAAATCAATCTTATTTTGCCAGATTCCACTTGTTATTATGAGATAAAGCGAAACGCAGGAACATACTATACAGCTGTATAAACACTTTGCACAAAGATGGTGACAATGCTGTGACTTAAGCACGTAGTGGTACACCCAGTACCCTACAGCACTTCAGCTGGTGCAGGAACTTTTGGTCACTATGGGGAAGGTGGTTGAGGTGTCTTTCTGGTGCCTGTATGAAAGTTCGACTGTTTAAAAATCAAATGTATAGAAATAAAGGTCTGTCTTTATTCACCCTGGTGGCAGCCCCTGCCTGCCAGATTTTCCTAAAAATATTTCTAGTCTTCTTTGTGCTGCTATAATGGAATACCTGAGAATGAGTAATTTTTCTTTAACAGACATTTAGTTATTACAGTCCTGGAAGCTGCAGAGCTCAAGGTTAAGAGACCCACATCTGGCAAGGACTTTCCTGCTATATCATCTAGTGACAGAAGATAGACCAGCAAGCGAGCATTTGAGAGACAGATGAGGGGAGCAGAACTCACCATTTAATCAGAAACCCACTACCATGATACTAGCATCAATTCATTCTGGAGGGCAGAACCTTCAAGATCAATCATCTTGTAAAGTCTTATCTGTTAAGATCTAAAAATGTCCCCTAAAAGTCTCATGTATTAAGAGGTGGAGCTTTTGAAGGTGATTGGATCCTGGGAGCACTTATCAGTGGATTAGCCCACTAATGAGTTCATGGCTGAATGTGCTGTTAGGCAGTGGGGCCTGGTCAGAACAAGCAAGTTACATTTCCTGTTCCCAGCTCCCTGGCTGACGTGGAGTGAGCAGCTTCTTTCCACTGTGCTGCTTCTGCTTTGGAGCCAATCATCCATGGCCTCCATCCTCTGAAACTGTGAGCCAAAATAAACCTCTCCTTCTCTAATTTGCATATGTCAGGTGTTTTGCCTCAACGGCAGAAAAGTGACAGAGATACCATCTCTCGACACTGTTGCATTGAGGATTAAGTGTCTAACATGTGAACTTTGGGGGACATATCCAAATGAGTTACCGATGAATGACAAGCTACTACAAATTCAGTGGCCTAAAACAAAAAAGTACGTATGATTGCTCAGAGTCTGTGGTCAGCTGAAGGGTTTTCTGCTGATCCTGGGCAGGCTCACTTGTTTTGGCTGGGCGTTTCCTTCAGCCGATTGTTAGGTGACTGTGGGTGGTAGGTGACTGTGGATGGTGAGATGGCTTAAGATGGCCTGGTTCACACATTTCACAGTTAACTGGCTGCCAGCTCCAGTGACAAGGTTGATTTAGCCATGTAGTAGTGCATCTATTCCAGCAGGTTGCTTGTTCACATGGTGGTAGCAGCTTTCCAGGACAACAGCAGCACACAAACAAGGTGTCTTAAGGCATAGCCTGGAATAGCATTGTGTCCCTTCTACCACATTCTACTGTCTGAAAAATTGATACAAAAGACTGCAAAGTCGCTTTGTAAAAGGCATAGGCACAGGAAGGGTTGGGAAACAAGGTCTATTTTTATAACCAGTCTATTAGTTCCCAGAGTTATATCTTTCACTAGGGAAGTGCCGTGCTCACTGAGGAAAGAGATGAAGAAAAGCTGGGTAGTAGAGACATGCCTGGGGGACACAGTAGTAAAACAGACCCTGTAGTGGGGAAGGAATAAGCAGCAAAAGGAGAAAGAGAAGATACTGGAGTTACAACCTACATGAAAACTCCACTGCAATAACTACTTCTGCAGTGACTTATTGTGGGTGCTTATCATGCCAACCACTATGCATCCACAATCTCATACAATCCTCAATCATGTCTATGAGCAAGCTTCCATTATTAATCACATTTTTACAGATGAGGTAATTGAGGTTCAGAGAGAATTAGGTAATTCACAGGGACACACACAGATTGGATGTACAGGATGCAAGAGGCAAAGGCAGGATTTGGCATTAAAACACGTCGCTCTTCTGTTGCTAACTTGTCTCTCTGTCCCAAGAATAGGCTTCCTGCCAGGCTTGAACCACGACAACATCTGATTATTTCCAGTCTTGCTCCAGGGTGTGGCTATCTTTTAATATAAAGAACCAGAAAGTAAATATTTTAAACTTTGTGCTCCATTTGATCTCTGTTTAAATTACTCAACTCTGCTCATATAGTGTGAGAGTCCAAGGAGCTACTGCAGTATAGGCACAGTCTCGGGTCCTGCCCAGATCTACTGAGTCAGAACTTGCATTCTCCCCAGAATAGCTCTGGCTCCAGACCCCTCTGTGTTAGTGACTTCTTACCTCTCCCACCTCATCCTTTGCTACTGAAGCTTCATCTTTCCTGTCCACCACCATTTCAAGTGAAACTAGAACTTCTTTCACCTCAGTGTTGGACTCATTCTTTGCCAGCCCAGGTCCCTTTGCTTGGCTAATCCTGCCTGTCCTTGGATTGCATCTCAGCTTGGATACTTCCTCCAAGCAGCTCTTCTGGAGGGCTGCACAGGTGCACCTCTTTTCTTTTCATTATCCTCCCTTACCTGGGGCTGCCCACCCTATAGGGAACCCCCTCACACACTGTTTTCTGATACTGAGGATTGAGCCCAGGAGCTTCTCACTGAGCTACATCCCAGCTCCCACCCTTTTTTCTGTATTTTGAGATAGTATCAATAAGTCATCCAAGTTGGACTCAAGCTTGCAATCTTCCTCCCTGCCTCACCTCACAGAGTGCTGGCATTACAAGTGCAACACCAAGTTACCTCCCTCAGTTTGTGATCTCAGGAGAGACAGAGGCCAAGTGTCTCAGGCGCGCCCATGTCTTCCCTCAATGCCCTGGAACACTACTGCATGAACGTGCATGCGCACTGAAAACTTGAGTGAAATCTACCTGCCAACTTCCCTCTGAGGCATATGTTCACACAGTTACTGTTTAATCAGCACGTGAACACAGGATTTCCTCAAGCTCTACCTGGCACTGTGCCTTCCTACCTGATCTCTAAGATTCCAGCTCCAGCTAGGCCCGGTTGTTTTCCATATTAGCATAGGTCTACCACTTCCAGAGTGCCTCAGGACTGAGACATTTCTGGGCAAAATTAAGCTATGCATTAGCCACAGGCCAAGACTTGAGTTGTGTTTGTGAAGGGGGAAGTGTACGGGGGCAGACAGGAGAGGCAGGGCAGAAAGCGCTAAGGATAGACAGACTTGAAGGCCAAACATCTACAAGGCTGAAAACCAGTATCCTCACCAGTGTGTGGAGCCAGTTATGTACCAACAACCACCCCCAGCTTCACTTCATGAGAAAGCAAAGCTGTGGAGACGTATGGGAAGAACCACAAGCCTGCCGGTGTGTGCAGACTTCCCTCCAGGAAGATGAAAGCCCTCCCCAAGGCTGAGAGTCAGTTCAGACCTTTCTACAATTTTCTTTATTAATTCAGCAAAATATAAAAGAATAAGGTCCCCAAAATGACCCATAGGACTCAAAGTGCAAATTTACTCCAACCTGGCATAGAAAACCAATAGCTGGCCTTGTTTGACCATTTTGGCCATGGAAATCTGGTGAGATTAAAATGCCTTTTAATCATACAATTCTAGCAGCTGACAATATTTGATTAACTCTTTGGTCTCTGTTGTTGGAACAAAACTTTTGACTACCAGATATAATAATACATAGTATGAGGTCAGAAGACACATTAAAGTAACAACAAAATAGGAATGTTCTAAGTCAAGTGACTGAATCAAAGCACTTCTTTTTTTAAACACAAAAGGTGCTAAAATATTAAAATATTCCTGAATATTTGACACATCAAAAACCAGATTACATATAGCTTAGCTGCACATTTTAGCCTATTTCCCCTGTATAGGTGATTGCATATTGTCTGACCTCTTTCGACTGGCACTTGCATTATCCCCACCCCCTTACGTGCTATGTAGATATAAAAAAAAAAACAGATGTATTTAAGTTAAAGACAAGTGATTAAAAAAACTAACAAGCACCACGATGATAACACTGAACTTCTTGTCCTCTTGAGGGACACCGGAAATGTGGGTAAGTTTCAGTTTTTCTACCACAAAAAAATCTTATGAGACACTATCTTCATCAATATCAAAGTCACATGTTACAGGAAAAAAAATGACTTACTCCAGGTTTCATGAGAAGCCCCAGAAGCGTGTTTGGTTGATGCTTTTTGAGCTGTGGGATATTAATTTTGGCAGTGAAATCTGACCAGAACTGTGTTCTTGGCAGCAGGGATGGGATAAACCTAAGAAGATTGGCCCACAGACCCAGCTCTGTTTTAACTGCTGCTCACGGCCACCAACCATTTCTGAAAGGAACAGGCTAGGACATTATGAGCAAAAAAGGATAATTAATTCTAATACCAAAAAACAAATATAGCAAAACAAGTTATTCTGCAATCCTTCCTGATTACTCATCTGCAAACTCCAGTGGAGCAAAGTTTAGCCCAAATCACCAGGGAGGAAATGCCAAGAACAGGCCCTGTGTGATTTCATGGAGGGTCTGAGTCCAAAAGAATGGCTCCAGCACCCAGGACCTTCTGCCAACTGGGAGTTTAGTGTTATCTGTGGCCGTGTTAATTTTTTTGGGGGGTGGGGTCCTATAATAAAGCTTAAATCTGAGAGATACAGCATGGAAATATCATACCCCCAACTATATATAACACCAGCATCTCCATACAAAAAATATAACCCTTATACATATTTGGGGAGGTGACAACTGTAAAAGGTAGCTATTGCAAACGGGTAGCCCCCAGGCTCAACTGAATGTTTTGTCTGCCTACTTGATGTTTTGGACATTTTAAATTTATTGCCTTAAAGCTCAGTGAACTTCACCCTTAAAAAACCAAAATCCTGATTTCCAGTCCCTCTCTGCTCGGTGGAGCTGAGTAACAGTTACCTCCTGTAAGCTGGGCTCAGTTCCCACCTACTTCTTAGCCTTCTCTATTTACTTCTGCTCCTAGTTCCTGCAGGAGTTGGCCACCCCTGACTGGAAATAGCACGTAAGGTGTGCTTTATAACCCAAACCTCTCACATCCTCGTAGGATTTTGCCTCGCCTCCCTTCTCCCCTCTCTTCCTTTCACTTCCTTCCTTCCTGAATTCCTCCAGTTTCTCTTTGCTCACATGCATTTCTTCTTTCAGCTACAGTTCTGTTGTGCAACAGCCATCTCCTCACAGCCCAGGAGCATTCCAGGAAGGCTCCATGCCCTGTCAGTGGGAGTTCCTGCCTGGTGTCTCACCACAAAATGCCTGAGTCATCCTCCCCACAACAGTTTCTTTGGCCACTGGTTAAGCAATTAAAAACATTTTGGTACAGCCTTCTTATATGAAAATATTTTTATACGTGAATCTCCAGTACCAAACATACACCAAAAATGTGTACATTCCAGATGAAGGATGTGATGGAGCCCCAATAAAATACAAAATTGAGCTTAATTTAAATGCCTCGGGCAACCATCAACACCCGGCTAAGATGCCATATTATTTCATTTGTACACAGTACATGTTTTGGATTACTAAACATTGACCAAAATTGATCGAAATTTCTTAAGTTTTGGCTACCATGTACAGAGAACAATTGCTCAGCATGGCATTTAAATAAAACAATATTTTAAAACTTCACAAATACAATGCTTATTAACTTAAAAAAATAATAAAACTTAAAAACCTTGAAGATGGATGAGGCTTTAGGTAATTAACCTGAAAGAAATCATACCAGAATAAACTATAAGAAAATGTTACCAGATATATACTTTTTTAAAGTATTAAGATTTTTTTAAAAAGGAACCTATTATCTCAACTAGAAATATTTTAGCTTTTAAAGCTTTATAATACAAAAAATAAAGCCTTATAATCCATCCAATAGCCTCATTTCCCCACCCCACCCCCAGGAGATTTAATGACTCCGGGCAAGTCAGGCTGAGTATGGAAATATATATTTTCTACTCTTGGCATTTAAAAGTAATCTATAAAAACACTGTGCAGTTTATATCTTTGCAGGAAGCTTGTGGATTAATCCTTTTGCTCAATGCAGTACCATATGATATAACATTGGCCTCAAAAGCTAAAAATGAACTTTGGGGTATCCAGGGGAATGGTCCACAGAACAATCTCACATCTGCAGCTGTTTCTCCTTCAGTCCACGTTTCCAAGGATATAAGAACCCTGTGCAGCTCTGATGACAAAGATTCCCTATAAATCATTTATTCACGACAATTTCCCACAGTGGCCAAGTGGGTCCCCTAAAGAAAGGAGGTTTATAGAAGGCCCTCAAAATAGCTCAGAAATGAAACAATGGACCTATTCATGTAACTACTTCTGTCTTCCAAGTTTTGCTTTTAAGAGTCTAAGAAAGCACATGTCTTTTAAAAAAAAAAATCCCCAAGTACATACAATGCTGAGACTGGCTGCACTTTCAACCAGCCAAGCAGACGATGGGCCACTCTAAACTTGAACTGCAAGCAACTGGGCTCCTCTGGGCTGCAAAATAACATGCTACCAGGTGGTATTTCTGTCCTGCCCCCTAGAGATGACTTCTCTCAGAGGCTGTTCCCTGGCTCTTCCTCTAATTTATTTTATCCACTCTGTCTCCTCTGCCCACTGACTAGGAGTAACTGATGTCCAAGCACAGACCCCAAGCTAATGAACTCTATCTTTTGCAGGACATCAGCTAAATCAAGAGCCCCTCAAAGTTAGCCCCTAAGGACTACAGGCAGCCTGGGCAAGTGAGAAGTATCTTCCAACCATTCACCAGCACTGTGCATTGGGAACACTAACATACCAGACACTGAGAAGACTGTTCACTTCCTTCCCACTAGCTCCTTAAATTCAGAAAGAAATCTTTGCAAAGGAGTTTGCCTAAAAGCCCTAGGGGCAAAGAGATTTCAAGCCAGCAGCAAACCCTTGCCAGACATCTTAATAGGCAAAGGCTGAATGATGTCTTTTTCAAGACCGGACATGTTTGATGGCCTCACCAGCTTTGTCTTAATTATGGATTTTGTTGCTACCTTGTACCATGTCTGGCTCATAGTAGGCATTCAATGAACGAGTGCTGATTAACTGAGACACAGTTCAGCTTATGGCCTGGAGGGATGGTACATAAACATGCTGCCTGCCTTTCCAAGCTGCATATGACTTCATAATAAATGTTTCTGGCCCCCTCTTTCAGATGCAGCATAATAACCAAAATAAGAGATCTGATTAACATAAAGTGCTATTCACTCTGAAAAGCTCTCCAACCAACTCTTGATTGCCTCTCAATATGTGTGACATTGACAATCCTATCAGACACCTGTGATTATACCACTCAAGTACATTAATATTAATCTGAATGGAGGAATGATGTTTCACAGAACATTAACATGCAACATAACTTAGATTCCAGTTGTGGATTGATTTAGATTGAAAAAGAAAGAAATTGGGAACCCAGTACCAAGAAATAGGTATGTCAAAAATACTCACGTTTATAAACTTTGGGACACAGCTATCTATGTCTGAAGACCAGCAAAGGAAACTTTCTCTGCAATTGGTCCTGCTTCCTTTGCTGGCTTGCGTAACTTAGATCTTTCTACCAGATTCTGCACAGACCACCATGTGGACCACCTCTCAATAGCTGCAGTTGGATATCACTCCCTGGTTTACCCAGGACACTAGTATGCAGAAGATGCGGTAATTATACTCGGGTGTGGAGCCAGAGTGACAATTAAGCCTTTGGCATCCCCCGAGTTGGTCAACATCTCCATCAAACCACTGTGCATTTAACCTCTCCTTCACCATCCCCCACACACACCCGTAGGAAAGGCTCCAGGGGCATTCAGGCAGAGGAGGGAGCTGTCTGTCTATGATTCATGTTCAGGGGACCCTTAAGTGCGCTGACTCCAGGGTGGGGGCATCTGGCAAGGTAGCGGGGACCCCCATAAGCCCGGAGAAGCTGGGGCAGGCTTCGCCAAGTGGACAGCAATCTCACTGCTGCTTGCTCTCGGGCATGCATGTCGAAAGTGGCCAGGAGGTCCACTGGGGCAGCTTCTCGAAGTACCTTGGGCAGAGGGCCCACTTCGGCAGCCGCCCTACCAGGCCCCAAGATGCAATGGAAGAGCGTCTGGCGTCCCAGCAGGCAGGCCTTAAGGAACTGCACCAGCTCCTCCAAGCATTCACTCAAGTGTGCCTCATCCCAGCCTTGCCCCGAAGTCCCCTCATGCAGCAACACTGTCAGCAGCACCGTCTTGAGCACGTATGAGGATAGGACTTGTCCCCACTGGGTGGCAGCCATTGGGTCCAGCCCACGGGCACCCAGATCTCGCAAAGCTTTCAGCAACTGTAGGCACTTGAGGTAGCAGGCACCTGGAGCAGCCCGTTCCTGAAGCCAGACCAGCAACTTTTGTTCCTGGCGAGCTGTGTTCACACCCCACAGTGCCTCAGAGCGCAGGCCTCCCGGGAGCTCCAAGAAGAGCCCAACAGGGGAGGGTGGTGGAGGTGGTGCCACAAGGAAGACGCTGTCCCCAAGATGGACCGCAGGGATGAGACGCACAGCCATGGAAAGGCGGCAGCACCCATAATCCGTGCGACATGGCAGAATGTGTAGGATAGGAGGCTGCTCCAGACCACCAGAGGTCAAGCTGACCCGACAGCACTCTTCCAGTTTGTAGCGCACGGTGGCCAGGGAGCGCTGCAGGTGCGACTGGAACCAGCGCAACACCAAAGTGGCAGAGAGGTGGCGCTGACCACGCACATCCACGCAGAAGCTGTCCGTGAAGGGTTTGCAGTTCCGGAGCCAGTGGCCCCCTGAGGTTCCCGACGGTGAGGGCGGAGCCTTGAGGGCGCACACGAAGCAGTTGCGGAAGGCGGGGGCCAGAGTGGGCTCTGCGCCCAGGCTCCGCGGCTCCAGCGCCACCAGCGGCGGCAGGCGCAGGGGTACCAGCACGTCGAAGCTGTCTGGCCGGCGGATCTTGTGCTGCTCATAGGCACTACCCACTTGGATGAAGTCCCCGCGGAAGGCCAAGGCCAAAGTTCCCCCAGAGATGGGGCATGGGGTGCCCCTGATACGGCCAGCCCGCACCAGCTCGCCCACGATCCGACTCACGTGCGCCTTACTGTGGCCCAACACGTGAGGCGACAGGCGCACCTCGTGCTCGTAGTAACTCTCCAGCAAGATGCTAAGTCCCGGCTCTGAGACGTTTCTAGGAGAGAAGGCGGAGTGGCCCACCACGCGGGAAGAGACAGGCAGAAAGCGCTGCCGGACAGCGTGGCGACAGCGCAGGAGGACATAGCCGAGCAGGAGCAGGATGACCACTTTGAGCAGCGAGAAGCCACCGTCCGCACCGTCGGGGGATACGGTCTTGGTGGCCCCGTCTCCCCGCAGGACATGGTAGAGACACACGAGGGCGGTGCACAGGCCGGTCACCAAGGGCCAGAAGACGCGCAGATTGAGGGTGTAGTGCACCGACATGCCGGGCGCCCGGGGCCGCGGTGGCCGGGCAGCCCAGGGCGCGAGCCCGGGCGGCGCGCCCGGTCCGGCATGCGCGCAGAGCCCTGGCGGCCCCGCGGCCTCCGTCACCTCAGCCTCCGCGGCTGCGCCCCCCTCGCGGGCCCCGGGGCAGCCGCCCTGCAGCTCGGCCTTCCCTCGCGGCTCAAGTTTTCCTTCCAGCGGCCGCCCGCCCTGCGCGGCCAGGCTCTGGGCCGCGCCCTGTTGCGCTCCCCGCCGGGCGCCCGGCGCGCTGCCCTCGGCCCGCTCCTGCCCGGCCCGGCCCGGCCCGGCCGTTGCCTACCCCGCGCGGCCCTGGGAGCTCGGCCCGTTACTCCTCAGTCCCGGAGCTTCCTCTTCGGCAGGAGGCGACGCGGCGCCAGCTAGCGGGGAGGAAATGCCGAAGTCTGAAGTCTGCAGCGAGCGCCGGGCCGGCGGGCGGGGTCGGCCCCCTCCCGGCCTGCGCCTCACAGCGACTCCGGGAGGGCGCGGGAGGGACTTCTCCCGGGCCACCCTGTCCGAGGGCACAACTGGAAGGCCCTGAGTCCGGGCGGGCGGCGGCTTCTTTCCTCCAAGGAGCCTCTCCAGAAGTTACGCTGGGAAGTTGAAAAGGACGAGAAAAGTGCTTCCAGCCGACTGCCCAGCCCTCGCTCCACCCCAGCCCCACCCCCGGCAAGTCCTCGTGGCGGCGTGGCAGTCCCTGGACGGAAGTGGCCCCTGCCGTCTGTGGCTAGCCTCTTTTCCCAAATTGATTGAGCTCCTACTATGTGCTGGGCAGAGATGAGCTACTAGGGAAATCAGCAGTTGGCCTAATTGACGGAACTTCTTCCTTACCTGAAGCCTACTGCCCTATAAAGGGAGAGAATTTAAAAATAAAAGATGTAACCAGTATGTGAGGGCACACATCTAGAATCCCAGCACTCCAGGAGGCTGAGGTAGGAGGAACCCAAATTCCAGCCCAGTATGGGTAACATATTGAGACCCTATCACAAAATAAAAATTTAAAAAGAGCTGTGGGATATAGCTCATTGAGAAGGCCCTGAGTTCAATCCCCAGGGCCGCCAAAATAAAATTAAATTAAAAGATCTCATAGCAAGAAAATTATCTGAAAGAAAGGAGACTGTATGCGGGAATGAGAAGGAAGTGACAGTTCCTGAAGCCAGAGGGTCACTGAAGTGGGGTCTTTAATCTGAGACATGAGTAAGGAGCCTGGGAATAATACAGTTTTCACAAAGGGCTTACTATGCATTGTAATCACGTTATACTTATGCACTTGCTGCTCACTTAACACTAAGAAATGTTATTATTTCCCCGTATATTAGATGTGGAAACTGAGGCCCAGACAAATTCAACTTTTTTTTCCCTCATGGTACTGGGTTTCGAACTCACAACCTTATGCTTGCCAGGCAGGCGCTTACACCACTGAGCTAAATCCGAGGCGCAGGTTTTGCTTCTTAATCAAAGTCACACAACCTTGGCAGAGCTTCTCTTTGAACCCAGGTATCCGGAGAAGCCAGGCAAGGAACAGGATCCCCAGGGAACAGGACCAGAGAGTACTCTGCCCTGTGCACTGGTGCTTATCTGAGTCCTTTGTGAGGAAAGGAAACCTCGGTTCTCTGGGAAGCTATTTTGTTTCATAACAGCAGGCACTCCCAGAAATAATCTGGATTTATTTGAACAATCGTCTTTACTTATTCACACACATTGCGTCTTTCTTATTCCTATTGTTATCTAAGGAGAGCAAGGGAACATGGGTTAAAGAATAGAGAACTCAGCTGCCATCTGGAACCACAACTCAGAGGGTGGCTCTGGAATTACTCCCTGGAAATCTTAAGTTGAGCTACTTAATGGTAAGCGGGCCTAGTTTCAGGTCCCATCTCCACTATTGTTAGTCTGTTCATCAGGGTTCTCCAGGTTGCAAGTAACAGAAACACAAGCAGATCTACACTGTCATGTTAAATAAGTCCACAGGGCTTTTATTTCAGGTACAGCTGGGTCTAGGTGCTACAGTGTTGTAAGTACCTGTGTTCTCTCTAGTACTTAGCTCTGCTTTCTTCCGAGTGGGTTGTTTTCTCTGATAAGTCCTCTGTATATTACTTGGCTTCTGTAGTCTCAGATTTGTTTAGTGCACAGGAAAAGAGAGCCCTATTTTTCTGAAAGTTGCAGCAAACGCCATGCCTTGGGATAGCTTTGGATCATATGTGGAAAGTCTGGCAAGAAAATACAAGTCAGGAATCAGGAGGCATGCCTGTAATCCCTTCGCTCAGGAAGTGGAGGCAAGAGGATTACTTCCAGTTCATGACCAGCCTGGGCTACATAGTTCAAGGCCAGCCTGAAATATATAGCAAGACTGTCTCAAACACACACAAAAGAAAGAAAGACTGATTACCCTTACCTAGGTTGTACCATGCTTCAAATTCCTGTGTTGAAGCCTTAAGCCCTAAGGTGACTATATTTGGAGATTGGGATTTCTAGAATTAAGATTAATGTTATAAGAATGGAGTCCTAATGTGATAGGATTGGTAGTTTTATAAGAAGGACAGACAGACAGCTCTCTGCACATGCACTCACTAGGGAAAGCATGTGAGAACACAGAAAGTGGCCATCTAGAAACTGGGAAAAGAGCCCTCACCAGAAGCCGAACCCTGCCAGGCCTTTTTCTTAGACTTTCCAACCTCCAGAACCAGGAGGAGATAGTTTATTGTTTAAGCCACTCAGTCTGTGACTAGGACATGGAATCAGCCTCAACTGTGGGGACTGTGCAAAGTGGCACCCTGCCCCCTCCTCCCCCCTAAGGAAAGCAGTGGCACTATGGGTAGAAGAAGAGGGGTGGGACATTTTGTTATGTGAAAAGGACAGATGGTCACCTCCTCTAGTTAAGTCTTAATCTTGTTTTGCTTCACTCTCTCAATCTGTGCTGGTCAGCTTTCCTGTTGCCAGGACAATACTTTTGATACCTGCAATTTACAGGGGGGGGGCGCTTATTTTTTGGCTTGCAGTTTCAGTACATGGTTAGCTGACTCCAAGGCAAAAATACTGTAGAAAGGTTTGGCTGGGCAAAGCTACTCTACTCATGGCCTCCAGGAAGCAGGGATAACAGGAAGAGCAGAGCAGAAGAAGCTAGGGAACAGACATTGACACCAAAGTCATGCCCCCTGGCCTTCTTCCTCCAAGTAGGCCTCACTTCCTGATAGCCCATTCTGCTATGACGTTAATGCCTTCATGATGCGATAATCTCTCCAGGAGTCTCTTAATTAAGTCAATTTGCCAGTTGGGGCTAACCAACATAGCATCTGTAAAACGAGGGCTATCCTAATAGGTGGGTAATATTTTTCTTTTGCAGACGTCTTAGCATGCTACCTCCTGCTATACAAACTAGGGCAATACTCTAGATCAGAAGTTGGCAAACATTTTTTATAAAGAACACAGAGAAAATATTGTAGGCTTGTGGGTCATGCAATTTTTGCAAGTAATCAGGTTTGTTCATGAGGCTTCAAAGCAGTCCTGTCTGGTTTCTGGGGCCATCATAACGAAGTACTGAAAACTTGGCAACTCAGAGCAACAGAAATGCACTTTCACACAGTTCTGAAGCCCGGAAGGCCAAACCAAATTGTTGTCAGGGCTGTGCTCCCTCCAAAGGCAGATCAGAGTCCTGTCTTGCTTCCTCCTGGCTTCTGTGATTGCTGACAACCCTTGGCCTTGCTTGGCTTGTGACTGTGACATTCTGAACTCTACTGTCATATTTTCATGATCTTCCTTGTGGGCGTACAGGTGCCTTTGTATTCCAGTCTCCCTGAAGACACCAGTTATTAAGGGTAGGTCCCACCCTAACCAACGTGACTTCATTTTAACTTAGTTACCTCTACAATCATCCTATTTCCAAACAAGGTCATACACACAGAAATCGGGAGTTGGAACTTGAGCATTCTTTGCAGTGAGATGATTCATTGCCTTACAGTGGTGGCAGACAACATATACAGGAATGGAAGGGCCAGGATACTGAAGTCTGAATTTCATAAATTTTTCATGTACCATGAAATAGAATTCTTCCGTTTTTTTTCCAGCTATTTAAAAATGTAAAGACCATTCTCAGCTTGTGTATCAGACAAACACAGATGCTACATATGTTCTATAATTCATAGTTTACTAACCCCTGCCCTAGAGCATTGGAGGAGTATTACCATGGTTTAGATCACAAATGAGCCCCACTTATTAAAAAAAATCTTTATCTCCTCCTGATCAAGAATATAAACTGCACTCTCAGATCTTGGATTAGATCACGGAGGTGCTTTAGCTGAATGTGATACTAAGAAATAGTCAGAAGATTCAGTCATTGGAGGCATGACCTGAAAGGTTCTTTCTCCCTCTCCAGCTCTTCCTTTCTCTCTGCTTCCTGGACAGCATGATGTAAGCAGTTGTCTCCATGGCAGGCCTTTCCACCATGCTGTTTCTGAATTTGAGCCTGCTACCCATGGATTGAAACTTCTGAAATGTAGGCCAAAATAAACCTCCAACATCTCAGAGTTATGAGTCAGATATTCTGTCTTAGTGACAAGAAAGTGACCAAGACAAGCAACAGTATAGAAGGAGCACGGGACTTCAGGACTGTCAAGCTGGAAGGTTGAAGTGGACATAAATTTCTATTTTGAGAACCTTGTTTGGAAGTTCTAGCAGGACAGCACAACTACTCATATATCTTTGACCAAAAAAAAAATGGTGCCTCTCTATAGAAGAAAGTTGTCAACTGAGCATCAGGAGGGATACACATGGAGTGCTGAGGGATGAAAGGGACACCCACCTAGCCAATCAGGTCAGCCAAATCAAGCCAGTGGTCAACGAAGTGACAGACGTCACACTCAGATCACCCTGCAGCTATAAACTTTGACTTTGTTCAAGCTAATAGTAAATAGAAAGGCACACACTTACAATCTCACCTACTCAAGAGGCTGAGGCACGATTGCAAGTTAAAGGCCAGCCTGAGCAACTTAGCAGGACACTGTCTTGAGGCAAAGTAAGGGCTGAGGGTAGATCAGTGGCAGAGTGTTTGCCTAGTATGTATGAGGCCTGGGTTCAGTCTCCAGTGATGCAAAATACTGTAATGAGGAGGAGGGAAAAGGAAGAGGAGGAGGAGAATCAGGATCCTAGGAGATTAAATCTGTTAGCCCTAGCACTTGTGTCCAGTGTGCATGCTGCTATGGTTGTTTGCCATTAGTGAACCTTGTCGATTACCTCCTCAAAAGGAACCGTTTCCCACCATGTAATCCACGTCAACTTCTCACACCTGTGCTGTTTTAACAGCTTCCTGCCTGCGTCTCTGTTTCTACTCTTGACCTCCAGTCTTTTCTTTACCCAGCAACCAGAGTGCTCTTTCTAAAACCTATGTCAGACTATTCAGCCTCTCTGTTCAGAAACCCGATGTGATTCCTGTCTGCACTGAGCAAAACCGACAGTCCTCCCCTTGGTCTGTAGGTCCTCCTCCTGGACTCTGCTCCTCACACACCTCACACTACCTTCCACGTCAGCAGCCCAAGCTCACCCCTGCCTTTGCTTTGCTGTTCCCTCTGCCCTTGCGACTCCTTTGTCTGAGACTCTTTCCCCTAAAACACTCATGGCTCTTCCCCTCTCCTCTTTCACCTCTCTGCTCAAACTCA